AATTCTGTTCTTACAAACACCAGTTCGTGCTCTGCATGTTGTTCTCCAATTTGTTTTTTAAAAATATAACAGCGTCATGTTACATGTTACGTTAAGTCAGCACATCTGAGGGGCCACCTCCTTCTCTCCATGGCTGCTGGAGTTCATGGTGCAGTGGGCATCTTTGCCCACATGTCCCTCTGCAGGGCTGTAGGGTTTTATAAAGTGGTCAGTGGGTGACTGCGGCGTGTTTTACACCTGAATGGAGACTGTCACGTGGCACCTATTTGCCGAGAAGCATGTCCCAGGTGGAGTCTGTCTGTCTGGGATACATGCCCACACCCATACACAAACGGCCTTTTCCCTACATCTTATCCTGTTCCTTGTGCATCCCACAAGGCTTGCTGGTCCCTCTGTCACCGATAGAAGCCTGTCAGCATTACTTTCCTCTTGCATAGTGAAAACCGTGGGTGTATCCAACAGGTGTTCTCAACCATGTGTGCCCAGGAGACAGAGATCAGTGTGCCCTTCCCACCCACTTCAGAGAGGATTGCTGCTTTAGATCGGTAAAGGCTGGGTACCCTTCCCCTGGCCCAGGTCTTGGACTCCCAGACAGTGGGCTTCAGAGATGCTTCTGACTCCTCCCCACTCACTGGGGGTCACTGTTCGGCTCTGGGCGTCCTTCCCAGCATGTCCTCCAATTCTGAATCTGGTTGCCCTGCCCTCTGAGAGCAGAGAGCCCACCTAGAGGAGCCCAGGAAGCTGGAGGGAAGGTGTTGTGTGAGGCTTTGGTCTTTCTCTCGGTGGATAGCTGTGGCTCCCAGCAAATCCTCTTCGAAGCCAGGCTTTGGGATAGGAGTGCTGTTCCCCAGACCCTGAGCCAAGAGCATGTAATTGGCTGCTGGTGGTGACAGTGGGAGGAGGTTCATCCACTTAGCGCTGGGGGTCCACCTGGAATTCCGTTGTGGATGGGCAACTCTGGTGGGTTCTTAGAGTCCCGGGCCACCCCGTCCCAAGGGGGACACTATGTGGAAGGCTTTTGCCCATTAGAGAGTCCAAGACACATCTCCTTACACAGTGAACCATGAGCTGATTTTTATCCCAGCAAGGATGACGGGTGTGGCATCAGGTGGGAGGGGCGTGTTCACTCTAGGTGGAAAATGTCTAGGGTGGAAGACGTCCCTCCCTTCTGTTCCAGAGCGCTTTTTTTGTTAATGTTTATTTTTAATTTTTTAAATATTTATTTATTTGGCTGTGTCGGGTCTTTGTTGCAGCACTTTGGATCTTTAGTTGTGGCATGTGGGATCTTAGTTCCCTGACCAAGGATCGAACCCAGCTCCCTGCATAGGGAGTGTGGCGTCTTAGTCACTGGACCACCGGGGCAGTCCCTATCTCAGAACTTTTGATCTCATTCACTGTCTTGAAAGTAAATGCAGACTCCATGAGGCCTTGCCAGGCTTCTAGTGTGACGTGTATGTGTGTATGTGTGTTTGTATGCACATGTGTGTGTGAGAGCTGTATCCCTCTGTGTCCCTCCTCAGGGTAAAGCGAGTCCATCTGCAGCACCAGTGTGTGAATCGCAGTGTCCCCGCCCTGTCACTGTGATTGCCCACCACTCCTGCTTCCCTTCTCCTCCCACTCCCCCACTCCCACCCCCACCCCCCCCCCAGGGTATGAGAGGAGACGGGACCCTCACAACCACATGCTCTGCTCTGATCCTGGGGACGAGCTCTCCTCTTTGACACCCATCTCACAGAAGAGCAAACCGAGGCTCAGAAAAGCGTAGAATGAGTCTTAGGCAGAGGGCTGGAGGTTAGAAGCCTCAGGAGCAGGGCTGGCAGAGGAATGATGCAGAGTCTGGAGGCAAGGATGGGGAAGAGGCTGGGGGGAGCACCCTGGCAGGCCATAGTCCCAAAAATGAGGGCTAGTGGGTCCCTGTGGCCATATTTGAAAGTAGACAGGAGATGGAGAGGAGGCAGGTGGCTGACTCAGACAGACAGCTGACCAGCCGCTGAGAGGTTATGCTGTCTTTTCTCACCCCTTGTTCTGGGGCTGGACTGACCTTGCTGCCACACGATTCCTCCCAGCAAACATCTCGTGTTTTCCTGCTGCCGTGATCTGTGTGGGACTGGCCAACTACCTCCTGGTCTGCTCTTGTAAATAAACTTTTATTGGAACTCAGCCAGGCTTCTTTATTTATGTGTTGTCTGTGGCTGCTCCCAGGCGACAAGGCAGGGCTGAGGAGTTGCACAGAGACTCTTGGGCCCATAAAGCCTAAAGCATTTACCAGCTCTCCCTTGACAGAGAGTTTGCTGATCCTGGTCTAGCTATGTTGTTCAATCACTCAGTCGTGTCCAACTCTTTGCAGTCCCATGGACTGCAGCACTCCAGGCTTCCCTGGCCTTCACCATCTCCCGGAGCTTGCTCAAACTCATGTCCATCAAGTCGGTGATGCCATCCAACCATCTCATCCTCTGTAGTCCCCTTCTCCTCCTGCCTTCAATCTTTCCAAGCATCAAGGTCTTTTCCAATCATTCAGCTCTTCGAATCAGGCGGCCAGAGTATTGGAGCTTCAGCTTCGACATCAGTCCTTCCAATGAATATTCAGGGTTGATTTCCTTTAGGACTGACTGGTTTGATCCAGCTCCAGTAGGGGTTACATGTGTGCACAGGCCCAGATGTACTAGCCCACGAGCTCCCTCTGTCCCTCTCTCCCCCTCTCCCCCCCCACCACCCTATCAACCCTTCCCTCCTTCCACCTCTGACTTGACCTCAACCTCCTTGCTGTAGTCCTTCTCCATTCCCACTCATTTCTCCCCAAGTATTTTAAATTAATGGGTTGGAAGGACTTTCCCCCCACCACCCTTCCTTCTCACATGGCCCACCTGCCCAGGTCTCCTCTCCCCCCACCCCATCCCTAGCCTCCCCCTCACTCTCTCTACCCGTTCTCATGGGTGGGGTGGGGTGGAATCTTTGACCCCATGAGATTCCAGGAGAGAGGTCCTTCTTGCTATGAGGCTTGAGCCAGCTGACAAGATGGTGATAGGCTGGAGGGTGAGAAGAGTGACTTGCTCACTGAGATAAGGGGGTCTAAGCACTCCCACATGGGCATTTGCCAACAGCCTGCCTCCCAGGACCCCTGGCCGCCTTGAGTATGGGGCATCTCTGGGAATCTTGTCCCAGCTGATGAGAGGAAGGCAGCTCCAGGGCAGCCAGAGACCAGACCGGAAGCTGGTCTCACTGCAGATCCCTCCCGTCCTCCTGGTCCTGCAGACCCCTGGGTGCCCGGTGGGGAGGCCAGTGATCCCAGGTTGCCAGATCTTCTGCAGCCAGTCCCTGCCCTCGTCCCCTTGCAGACACTCCACCTTGCGCCTCGGAGGGAAAATGACATGCCAACTGCAGCCCCACGCTGGGCTCCCTTGTGTTGTCCTTGTCTCAGGCACCATCGTGCTCCTGGGAACAAGTGGCCCTGTGATGCTTCTCCAGCAGCCAGACACCCATGGCTTCTTGCCCAGCATCTCTGTACCCTCATTTAGTCCTGTTTATGTAGCCAGGAGTCTTCCTGCTCCCTTGTCTGGTCAGTCCTGGGAGAGCGTGAGAGCGTGCATGCTCAGTCATGTTTGACTCTTTGTGACCCCATCAACTGTAGCCCACTAGGTTCCTCTGCCCATGGGATTCTCCAGGCAAGAATACTGGAGTGGGTTTCTGTGTCTTCCTCCAGGGGATCTTCCCGACCCATGGATCGAGCCCACGTCTCTTGCATCTCCTGCACTGGCAGGTGGATTCTTTACCACTGAGTCACCTGGGAAGCCAGTCCTCAGAGCCTATCCCCCAAACTAGGCAGCCAAGAGTCCCTCCCATGGGCCAGGGGAGTGGGAGGTAGGGGTTGTGATGGCAGGAAGCACCTTCCCTCTTGAGTGAGGCTTAAGAAACCAAAATAGCTTGTGATTTCCCCTTCTTCAAGGCGGACATGGGGACAGGAGTGGCGGGGGTGACCAGAGTCCTATCTATCCCACATTTCAGCCCCTCCTCCCAGTGCTGCTGATGGAGAGGACAGACAGCGGGCTCTCCTCTCCAGCCCGTGGCTCTGATCTCCCTTAAAGGACACAGGGATGGCGTAGCCTGGGCAGAAATGAGTTGTCTTGGAGTCGGACTTCTTTCCCAGATGGGCTGTGGGGACTGGAGGAGCCAAACACTAGACAGCAGTTGAAGAGTGTGGGTAGGAGGGGGTGGCTGTCTAAAGGTGGATCTAGAACCACCCAGGGGTGGCAGTGAGAGCCCTGTGCCCACCTGATTCTGGGCCAGCTGGGTGGGGGCATTGCTGAGCCCCCTGGAGCCACTGAGCCAGGAGTTTTATGCCCACCCTGGGGTTCCCTTCCCTAGTGTGAACTGGTGGTACATCCTTGGAGGTGGCTGTGCTGGAAGAGAAAGGAGGGACTGGGAATCAGCATCTCAAATGGTTTCTGCTACCACGTGGGGATTCACCTGCCCTCCAAACAGCAGGTGCTGGGAGTAAGCCTCCCATTGCTTTGACCAGAGGAGACGCCCACTGCCCTGAGCCGACCTTGGGATCAGGCCAGTTTGGCCTTCTGCCCTGAGAAACAGTGATGAGTTGGCAAGCCTCAGGCTGGATACCTGACACAGTTGGGTGTAACACCTGCCCCCAAGCCCACCTCTCCACACAGACTTCCAGGTGCACGGCCCCCTCCTTTATGCTAACCTAGCTGCAGGGACAGAGGGGATGTCACTCGGTGCAGAGGCTCTGGTCTGCCCAGAATCAGATGTGATGGGAGAGACATGCCTGTGTGATATATGAACCTAGTGGATTTCTCCCCTTCTCTCTGCACCCCCAGCTCACCTCCTGTTTTTCCTTCCATCCACTAGGCAGTACCGGATGCTCCACATCACCTAGAAGCCTCCCTTAGGAGTGCCGTCCCAGCCTGATTGAAAACTGGAGAAGTGGCCCCGCCATTGATGAGTTTGCCTTGGGCATCGGTGACCAGGTGAAACGGGAGGCCAACATGGGGCAGAAGGTCACCGGAGGGATCAAGACGGTGGACATGAGGGACCCCACATACCGGCCCTTGAAGCAGGAGCTCCAGGGTCTGGACTATTGCAAGCCCACCCGCCTGGACCTGCTGCTGGACATGCCCCCCGTGTCCTATGACGTCCAGCTGCTCCACTCCTGGAACAACAATGACCGCTCGCTCAATGTCTTCGTGAAGGAGGACGACAAGCTCATCTTCCACCGGCATCCGGTGGCCCAGAGCACGGACGCCATCAGGGGCAAAGTCGGGTACACGCGCGGGCTGCACGTGTGGCAGATCACGTGGGCCATGAGGCAGCGGGGCACCCATGCCGTGGTGGGGGTGGCAACAGCAGATGCCCCCCTGCACTCCGTGGGGTACACGACGCTCGTGGGGAATAACCATGAGTCCTGGGGCTGGGACTTGGGTCGCAACCGGCTCTACCACGATGGCAAAAACCAGCCAAGCAAGACATACCCAGCATTTCTGGAGCCGGATGAAACGTTCATTGTCCCTGACTCCTTCCTGGTGGCCCTGGATATGGACGACGGGACCCTGAGCTTCATTGTGGATGGACAGTACATGGGAGTAGCTTTTCGGGGACTCAAGGGCAAAAAACTGTATCCTGTAGTGAGTGCCGTCTGGGGCCACTGTGAGATCCGCATGCGCTACTTGAATGGACTTGACCGTAAGTGTCCTCGGCTCTGTTTTTGGTGGTGGTGTCCCTGGCCTCCCCGTGCCCTGCTGCTCCTGGCTGGGCCCAGCTAAAAGTTTACAGTTGTTGCAATTTAAATGTCTTTAAGTAGACACCCCAACATTCAGATCCTTAGACTCTTGCCTTGCCTCTGATTAGATGGGATTTCTAGCTAGAGTCTGCAGATTACGTGGCAGCACCTCAAAGCTGCATGGTGGATGGGTGGATGAATGGGTGGACGGATGAATGGATGACTAAAGGAGTGGATGGATGGGTGAATGGATAGATAGATGGGTAGATGGATACATACATGCATGAATGGATGGATGGGTGGGTGGGTATATGACTAAAGGAATGGATGGATAGAGGAGTGAGTGAGTGGGTGAGAGACTAGAGGAGTGAATGGTTAGATGGGTGGATAGATGGACGGATGGATAGATAGATAGATAGTTGAGTGGGTGAGTGATTAAAGGAGTAAATGGATGGATGGGGGGTGGACAGATGGGTGGATGGATGGATGAATGAATGAATGGATCAGTGGATGGATGGTCTTTGACAGATGTGGCTTGTTTCTGGCTGAGCTGCCTCCAGGTTTGATCTGCAGTTCTAGCAGGTCTTCTAGCACAGTAACCATCATATTATTGAGCTGGGCTTTGTGTCCTGGGGGTACTAGGGCTGCCCACATAGTGAAAGCCAGCGACTTCTCATCCATTCGACAGCAGATGCCCCCTATACTCCATGGGGTACACATGTTTCTCTTTGGAGCCCTCCTCTGCCCATCTTTCCCTTGCTGCTCCTGGCAGGCTCTGACAGGGTGAGAGCAGTGAGCCTACAGCCAGGTGGGGTGTCCACCTCACCTGTGTAGCCCAGCACCGTAGGTCCTCCTGGTACTCCTGGCAGGTGTGCATCCAGCAAGTAACCTCCCTGAGGAAGTCATCCAGACCTGGTTTTGGGAACCAGCAGGGCAAGTTCTGTGAGTCCGTCTCTCCACGAGTCAGGCTAGAAGGTTCACAGCCACATCTACCCTGTGCAGGGATGGGCAGGGATTGGGAGCCCGGGGACCCAGGGTCTCAGGGGACCCTGGCCTGTAGTCCTGCTTATCTCTTCCTAGTAGACAGTGACCACAGCCCCAGGGAGTTCAATGCTCCCCCCCCCTTTTTTGTAATATTTATTTATTTGACTGCACTGGGTCTTAGTTGTGGCACGTGGAGTCTTCGATCTTTGTTGAAACATGTGGAATCTCTAGTTGCAACATGCGAACTCTTAGTTGCAGCATGTGGGATCCAGTTCCCTGACCAGGGATTGAACCCGGCCTCTATGCATTAGGAGCTGGGGGTCTTAGCCACTGGACCACAGGGAAGTCCTTTAATGCCTGCTCTGTGCAGACAGATGAGTCAACGGTTGGGTCCAGGCTTCTGAGACTTGGTCTCTCCAAGAACGGGGCAGCCCTGGCCCCTCTGGAAACAGGTCCATCGGTGCCAATGCCAGGAGTGCACGGCTTCACTGCTTATGTGCCCAGCTCCAGGACAGAACACAGACCTCAGAGCGGCTGGGAGGGGACTGTTCCCCCATGGCGAATCAGGGCGTGCACGAACAGAACTGTTCCCCTGCCGAGTCAGGACAAGGCTTGGCGGTTGTTCTGCCAAAGCAGTCCCAGAGGCCCAGATGGGCGTGATCGGTCAATACCCTATCAGCTCTGCATTAGATGGGAGGTCAGATGCCTTTGCAATTTTTCTTGTTTGGGAAACTTAAAGGGGTGGAGGGGGAGGGGAATAGCATGGGCATGTGTTATGAGAAGCCCACCCCTGAGCTGGACTCTGGGGTGGAGGGGGGGAGACTGGAAGTGCCCAGAGGCTTGAGCCCCCTCCACACTCTTGGTGTCTGATGAGGATGCTCCTCTGTCCCCACCATAATGCCAGGCAGGGTGCCAGGGCCCCGTTGGCTTCTCGCCTTCCACTCTCCTAATGAGACATGAATGGGCCCCACTCTGCACTGCTGGCTGGCTTAGGAGGATCCGGATGGGAAACCTGTGAGGGTAAGGCAGCAACCCCAGCCTCTGCAGGATGTTTGATCTTATGCCCTAAAAGGGTCACTTTGGCTGCTGCCTAGAAATGGACGGTGGGGGCAGGAGGGGCCACCGGGAGGCCAGGGAGGAGCCCTGATGGCTGTGCAGGGGAAAGGGCCAGGTCCTGGCGAGGGCCCGGGACCACCAGGGTGGGCACCATGGTGGGGAAGTGACATTTGCGATGCTCACTCAACATGTCACAGTGACTCTGCAGGTCTGGAGACAGGACAGTGGTCAGTGGAGATGGAGCTGAAAGCTCTGACCCTGGATGAGGTCACCAAGGAAAGGAAGGAGGAGAGGGCTGAGGCCCAGCCTTGGGGCAAGTCATTGTTTAGGGTTGATGATGATGAGGAAGGAGAAGTGGAGTAGCTGAGGGGCTGGGGGAGGAGTAGTGTTCTGGAGTCTGTCCTGTCCCAGCACACCTTGGCTTGTGGACACATCACCAGGTGATCGCTGGTGACCCTGATGAGGGTCTTCTGGATAGGGTGGGTTCAAAAGCCTGAGGAAGGGGCTGGTGTAGAGAGGAGGGTGGTGTGGTTCTTTCCTGGGGCCACCGGAACAAATGACTGCCAACTGGGAGTCTTAAAGCAACAGAAATGGTGTTTCATCTCAGTTCAGGAGGCCAGGTATCTGAAACCAAGTTGTGGGCAGGGTCAGTTCCTTCCGAGGGCTCTGAGAGTCTGTCCCGTCCCAGCACACCTTGGCTTGTGGACGCATCACTCAGTCTCTGCCTTGTGTGACCTCCTCTGGGTGTGACTTCTTCTTATAAGGACAAGGCTCATCCGACTCCAGCATGTATGAGTGCTCAGTCACTCAGTCGTGTCCGACTATTTGTGACTCCATAGACCATAGTAGCCCACCAGGCTCCTCTGTCCATGGGATTTTCCAGGCAAGAATACTGGGGTGGGTTGCCATGCCCTCCTCCAGGGGATCTTTCCCACCTAGGGATAGAACCTGAGTCTCCTGTGGCTCCTGCATTGCAAGCGGATTCTTTACCACTGAGCCACCAGGGAAGCCTTACTCCAGTGTGACCGCATGTTAACCAGTTACATCTCCAAAGATCCTGTTTCCAATAGGGTCACATTCTGAGGTTTTCAGATGGACCTGAATTTGGTGGGAGGGATGCTGTCCCACTCACAGTTCCTTCCCCTCCCTGGGCTGCTGCCTTTGGGGGAGATGAGGCAGTAAGAGACAGAGCCCAGAGTTCAGATGGTGGATATCTATCTGTCAGGTGAGATCAAAGGGCACCCAAGTCCTCTGCCCAGGAGGGTTTGCTTTACTCCCCAGGGCAGCTGAGGAAGGAGGGATGTCAGAGTCCCTCCAGAGAACAGGGCATGACAGGCAGAAGCCCTGGCCAAGTCTGACCAGATACATCTTCTTGGTGTCAGGCCTGGACGGGTCTCTGCAGTCTTCAAGGTGACTCTGGGCTCTGCAGTCTTCGAGCAGTCTTCTTACTGCTCCCTGGGTCGTCTGGAAAGTCCACTCCCTCCTCCACCCAGTCCCACTTCACCCGGATGCCGGGTGCTGACCTCAGCAGGGAGCAGCTGTTTGCAGAGCGGGTCAGCCAGAGTCGTCAGAGTCCTGTGCACCCCCTCCCCCGCCTCACCCCACCCTGGGTGCTGCAGTGGGCATTTTGTCCTCCCAGCCTTTCTTCCCCCAAACGCCAGGTGGACCCTCGCCGGAAGAGTCCCTGCCCCAGTGCCGGAACCCTGGGCTGAGCTGGCCTGGACAGGGCCAGAGCAAAGGCTGTGTGTCCTTGCATGACCTCCACCACTGTCCAACCACCTCCGATCACAGACCACTTGTTCTGACTCTTCCTTGGGGCTCAAGGTCTCCGGGGCTGAGGCTGCAACCAGAGGGGCTGCTGTGTCATCTTTCTCTTTTCTGAGAAGAGGGGGCAGCAATGGCCATTGAAGGGGGGAGACAGGGCCCAGTTTGGCTCCTAGGCCTGCCCACCCCACTCCTGGAGATGCAGAAGGAAAGGCCTATTTTTTTTTTTTTTTACAGTGTTGGGTCTTCATTGCTGTGAGGGCTTTCTCTAGTTGCAGTGAGCAGGGGCTACGCTCTAATTTCGGTGCTGGGGCTTTTCATTGCCACGGTTTTTCTTGTTGCAGAACACAGGTTCTAGGGCACTGTGGGCTTCCGGTAGTTGCGATTCTAGAGTACAGGCTCAGTAGTTGTGTTGCACAGGCTTAGTTTCCCTGAAGGATGTGGGATCTTCCTGGATTAGGGATCAAACCCATGTCTCCTGCAGTGGCAGGTGGATTCTTTACCACTAAGCCCAGGCCTTTTTTTTTTTTTTTAGTATCTATTTGTTTGGCTGCACCAGGTCTTGTTGTAGCCTGTGGGATCTAGCTCCCTGACTAGGAATTGAACCTGGCCCCCTGCATTGGGAGCATGGAGTCTTAGCCAGTGGACCACAGAGAAGTCCCAGGAAAGGCCTATTTTTAAGCAGCAGACCAGCTGTCACTCAAAGGAGAGTCCTCCTGCACCTCTCCCTATCACTTTTAATGGCACCTCCCATTAAGGAAGCATTTCCTTGCAGTTCAGCATTTTCAAAATCTCCCTTTTTGGTTCCCAGGACCCGGGAGCCATGAAGGTGGCGGGTGGAAACGTCTCTGAACTGGGCACTTCCTGACTTGAGACATCCATCCTTGACCTCACAAACCCAAAGTCCATTCACTGCCTGTGGACTGGACACAGAACCAGGCTCTGGGGCTCCGGGTGGGCATCTCTTGGAGGCTACGAGGTGACCCTGGCCATGCATGTTCAAATTGGCCACCAGGTGGTTGCTCGTCCTGGAGATGTGGATGTGGGCACATGGCCTTGTCCAGTTCCTTGTCCTGCTCCCGTAAATAGCACCAGCTCCACTTCCTGATTCCTGAGCCACACTCTGTGCAGATGGAGCCGGATACAGACCCTACAGCCCCCCACTCCCCACCCTGGGCAAAAGGACTGAGGTTGGAAAGGCCTTCTGGGTCCTGGTAGTGACCAACCAGAATCTGTGGGACATATGTTTTTCCTGGCATAATGTCCACATCCATCTCTGGAGCCTTGTGCTCAGCCAATGGGACTCTAAGGAGCGTCTGGCCCAGACCCCTCTTCTTCCATCTGGGGAAGCTGAGGCCCGGGGGAAGGGAGCCATTTGCTCGAAGTGAGGCTGCTATGCAGGTGAAGGTGAGGGGCCGGGTCTGGGGTCTCCGAGGCAGGTCCAGTGAAGGAGACCAGGTCTCTGCAGGCCGGCAGGTGGGACGATTCCATCCCGACCCACCAGGAGTCTGTGGGATCCTTGACCCGAACAGATGGAATATCATTTAGTTAATCCTCCTTCCTCCAGGAAAGGCCCCATTTCAAAGCTTTCCATGAAAAACATCTACCACTTCCATCCTGTCTCTTGGGCTTCCCTGGTAGCTCAGACAGTAAAGAATCTGCCTACAATGTGGGAGACCTGGGTTCACTTCCTGGGTTGGGAAGATCCCCTGGAGGAGGGCGTGGCTACCCACTCCAGTATTCTTGCCTGGAGAATTCCATGATGGAGGAGCCTGGCAGAGTGGCTGCATGGGGTCTCAAAGAGTCAGACATGACTGAGCAACTGACACTACTACGACTATCCTGTCTCCTGGGACTGCCCAGGGGAGATAAAGAGCCATTGTTTGTCTTCTTTTAAAGCCTGGAACTTCATAAATGCCCTGTCAAGCCTAAGATGTATTCTTTTTTTAAATAACAGCTTTACTGTGATATAATTCACATGCCATGCAATTCACCCATTAAATTGTAGCGTGCGGTGACCTCTAGCTTACTAATAGCTGTGTAGCCACTGGTGTGGTTCATCTTAGAACACTTTCATCATCACCAAAGGGAACCCCTACTCAGTCATTCCATTTCCCCAAAAACCGCCAAGCTTAGGATTTGGTCTTCAATTGCTGAATTTTTATTTATTATATTTTTTGGCCACACAGCGCACGGTTTGCTGGATCTTAGTTCCCTGACCAGGGATTGATCCCAAGCCATCGGCAGCATAAGCACCAAGTCTTAACCACTAGTATGTGATGTATATGAAAGTCACTCAGTCATGTCCGACTCTTTGCGACCTCATGGATTATACGGTACATGGAATTCTTCAGGCCAGCATACTGGAGTGGGTAGCCTTTCCCTTCTCCAGGGGATCTTCCCAACCTAGGGATAAAACCCAGATCTCCCGCATTGCAGGCGGATTCTTTACCAGCTGAGCCACAAGGGAAGCCCAAGAATACTGGAGTGGGTAGCCTATCCCTTCTCTAGTGGATCTTCCTGACCCAGGAATTGAATTGGACCACCAGGGAATTCCCAATGACTGAATTTTTTAATATTCTTTTTAATATTCTGAGACACACTGGTGAATATTAAAGAACTTTCATCCACTTTTTAATTGGTGGAATGGGATTTCAAGGGAAATGCTGGGGGTCTTCTCAGTTTTTTGGTTTGACCTTTTATTTTGTTCACAAGGAAGTTTGGGGAGACGGTGGACGAGGTCACGGATCCGCTCACTTCAGCTCCTTGTGTGTCCAGGACCCTGAGCAGGGAGGGCCCCCAAGCCGTTCATGTGCGCTCACCTGTACCTGGCTTCATGGATGAGAGCAAGGAGGAGTCAGCCAGGCATGGGCCCGGGGAGATGAGCAGAGCCCATAACAACTCAGCAGCCTCTGGGGCCTTGGAGGGCATTACTTTCTGGTTCCTTCTGGAGCAGAGGGTTTATCTGAGATGCAGGCTGTGTGGAGCCTCTCTTTCAGGAAGCTAGGTCTTAGGCCCTCCCAGGGACACAAGGGCAGAGGTGCCCTTGCAGGTTGCTGCCAGAAGCCCCCTGGGATCCAGGGTCCTGACGCAGCTCTACCATGAACTGGGCCCCGACTGCAGGGGTTTGGATCCCAGCCTATAATCCTGGCACTTCTGTCCCCTCTGCACCTGAGTGCCCTCAGCTGTAAAATGGAGAGGAGAACCATCCCTGTGAGCAGTTGGGTTAACACAGAATGATTCTCCTCCTGAAAGACCGAGTGGGGTCTGGGACTGGATATATGCGGGGGAGAGTCCATGATGAGGGCCTCTAATTCAGTGGCTTAGAGCTAACCCTGATCCTAACCCTTGCTCCTTTTCCTGCCAGTGGTGTGGCCCTGGGCAAGTTATTTGTACTCTATTCCTCAGTTTCTTCATCAGTAAAATGGGGATGATGATCATGGTATGTATCTCCCTGTGATTATTAAATCATTCGTAACAACCCACTCCAATGTTCTTGCCTGGAGAATCCCAGGGACAGGGGAGCCTGGTGGGCTGCCGTCTATGGGGTCACACAGAGTCGGACATGACTGAAGTGACTTAGCAGCAGCAGCAGCAGCAACAACAGACCATCATGGGGATTAAATGAGGGCTTACAAGGGGGCCTGGCCCAGTGAGTTTTCTGTGTTAGCAATTAATAACTGATTTAAAAGGTAAAATGAGACAGAAACCAAACCAATATTGTAAAGCAATAATCAATCAATTAAAAACAAATAATTTTTTTTAAAAAAAGGTAAAATGAGGGGAACCTTTGGTGGTCCGGAGGTTAGGACCCCAGGCTTTCACTACTGAGGGTCCAGGTTCCATCCCCGGTTGGAGAACTAAGATCCCATAGGCCACGCTGCATTGCCAAAAAAAAAGCTAAAAGGAGTTAATTTGTAGTCATCTGGGTATTAAAACTAGTATCGAGACTTCCATGGTGGTCCAGTGGCTAAGAGTCTGAGTTTCTAATGTACAGGGCCTGAGTTCGACCAACCAAGACCCTGTGCAGCCATATAAATAGATCAGTAAATATTTTTTTAAAAAACATCTAATATCAGTCAGTGATGCCATGGCTGCTGCTGTCAGTGTTTGCTCTCAGACCACCCGGAGCCGTACTAACAGGCGTCCTCTCTCTCCTCCTATCCGCAGCGGAGCCCTTACCGCTCATGGATCTCTGCCGTCGCTCGGTGCGCCTGGCCCTGGGGAAGGGGCGCCTGGGTGAGATCCACGCGCTGCCACTGCCCGCCTCCCTCAAGGCCTACCTCCTCTACCAGTGATGCTCCGCCTGGGACCGCCAGCACAACCACCCGCCCGGTGCCAACTCACTGAGCCACCACAGCACCATGAGCCTTGGACCGGCGTCCGAGGCGTGGGAGGAAGTCCCGACTTCCTTTTCATCCTCCCTGGCTGCCCAGCCGGACACAGACGGCTTTGGATACGGGCCCTTCTGCTCCCCTTCTGGACCTTGGCAGAAATCCCCCGCATGCCGTATCACAGCCCTTCCTTGGAAAAAACACAGAGGATAAACTGCTGCCCTGAGCTCTGATCTGCTCTTGGGGTGGCCTGGGTGCTCCCCACACCTGCCGGGACCCCCTGGTGCCGAGAACAGATCCCAGGGGTGCTAAGAGGTGCTTAGATGAGGGCCAGCGCCCGCCCAGCAGGGCAGCCACAGCAGACGAAGCTCAGGATGTCAGAAGCTCACCATGGCCACTGAGGCAGAAACCAAAATGGGACCTTCCCTAGGCGCATGAGCACCCAGCATCAGTCCTGGCTGCCGGTGCCTCCATACCCTGTATTTATTCTTTTAACAGTAACAAAAGCCATTTATTTATTCCATTTAGAAAGGACACTTTGTTCGGGTCACTTCTCTCTGGAGTGTTCTGTTGCTTTTCTTCCACCTGCCCCTTCCTGGGATGTGTGTGCCTCACCTGGCCCTTTCGCTGGGTCATGTTTGTGATGTGTCCCCATGCGGGCACAGGGGGACCTCTGTGTGGGTCCCTTGATCTACAGTTTCCAGGGGGCTCTGCTCCTGAGTGCCCTGAAAGGGCACCTCACGTGCAATAATGAGTGTCTTGGGGACCTGTCTGCAAGGGCAGTGGCAGCTCCCTGCATCCCCCCAGACAGCCACTTGTCACTCGGGCTTATCCATTTTTGCACGTGGTTTTATTTTTTTAGTCTTCTGTGGGGTTTTTTGGTGTGGGTTTGGTTTCGTTTTCGCTTTCCTACCTGAGATTTGCCACGTGAATACTCAGAAGCTCTGGCTTCCCCTGTCAAGTACCTGCCAAAACAAGACAGGGGGATGAGTGGGTCTGAGAGGCCAGGGGCAGGGCAGGGTGGGGGAGACCAGAGCAGAGTTGGTGCCTGTCTCCACTTGGTGCCCCTGTCCAGGCTCTGGGCTGAAGTGGAGCAACCTCAGTTCATCACGGTGCCCCAGAGCCATGGGGTGGGGCAGGGTGGGGTGGGGTGGGCAGCCTGCAGTGGGGGGGACACACCCTCCCTTGCACAACTCCCCCACGTAGCAGACCCCAGCACCTGCCACCAAGTCACCTTTTCTTATGTCTTGAAGTCCACCCTCTTAGAATCTGCCTTCTGTTCATTTCTGTACAGGTACAATAGATGACTTTATTTGTTTAAAATGTTTAATATATATGCATATATATTTGTCCGTAAAAATTATGTTTTAAACAGCTGCTGTAGGGTACCTTTTTAAAAAAAAAAAAAGTCTTCCAGTGGAGTATATTTTTTAAAGCACAAAATTGGTGCCAAGACTGGGTGAGGAATGTAAATTTCCCCTTGATCTTCGGAGGTTTGTTTTTCCCCCAGTGGGTGGGAGGAACCGAACCTGAGACATTTAAAGACTGTCCTCACTCCTGTTTCAGGATGGGCCATGTTCTGATGAATGTTACACATGAGAGGGTCTCATTAGACAGATCCCAGCCTTATCACCTTGACCCAGTCGTCTCCCACAGACGCTGGACAAACCCCCAGACTCCTTGTCATCTCTCTGCACCCCCAACACCCCAGCTCCCCAAACGTCACCCCACCTGTCTTTCCTCTCAGCCCAGAGCCTTGTGGCCTGTACAGTTTTGAAACTCCTGTTCTATTTTATGATGGTTGATAATAGTCAGTAACCTAATAAAGGAAAGTTTATTAAAATACAAAGGCTCTTTGGAGTCCCTCTTTGAGCCCTGTGCTATGTTGTACTTAGTCGCTTCAGTCGTGTCCGACCCTTTGCGACCCCATGGACTGTAGCCCGCCAGGTTCCTCTGTCCGTGGGATTCTCCAGGTGAGAATACTGGAGTGGGTTGCCATGCTCTCCTCCAGGGGATCTTCCCTAAGGTGACTTTGAGTTTTAGGGGAAGGGGAAGGGCATGACGGACCCCTCCCGGGTCCAAGGTTTTCAACAACAGATAATGGGGTGACTCCCCAGAGCCCTTGGTGGAGGGTGGAGTGCCATCAGGGGTCCCAGATGGAGGAGGAGAATCCCAGAGGGATGATCCTAGAACAACCTCATCCTTTTCAGAAGTTCATGAGGCCTGCAGCTCAGTTAGGGACTCGCTGAGCTGGTAGAAAGGATACTGCACATCAGCAAGGACCCTTGGCTTATTGTTCAGTTGACTGTTGGCTTTTCAGAGTCTAAGCACTGGGCACTCAGCTAAAGGAGCTGGTCCTTCACCCATCTTTGCATCCCCAGTGCCAAGTGCACAGGAAGGCTGAATGAGCCCATTCTGCTAGCTGCTCCCCACTCCGAACCCCAGCGGAGAAGACAGGACGTTCTGGCTTAGAGGACTGGTGACTGATAAAGTGAAGAATCAAGAAGTTTACTAGATATGACCACACGTCATGACTAGTTTCCAAAGAATTAACAAGAGTGCATTCCACTCCCTGTGTGTGTGCATGTGTGCTCGCTCACTCAATCGTGTCTGACTCTTGGCGACCCCAAGGACTGTAGCCTGCCAGGCTCCTCTGTCCATGGGGATTCCCAGGCGAGAATACTGGAGTGGGTTGCCATCTCTCCTCCAGGGGATCTTCCCAACCCAGGGATCGAACTCGTGTCTCCTGCGTCTCCTGCACTGGCAGGCGGATTCTTTACCACTGAGCCACCTGGGAAGCCCTCCGCTCCCTGTGGGCACTTTTCGTTCTAAAGGCACGTTGGGATCTGCTGGTGCTCGGCAAACTGCCCTGATCTGAGGGCCCAAGACCCCTGGGACCAAGGTCCCCTGTTACTTTCTCTGAGAACCTCCTGGCCAGCTTTCCTGAGACCACTTGCATCAGAACCAGCTGAGGGATGTTAGTTAAGATGTTCGTCTCTGGACCCTGCCTGAGATGGACAGAGTGGACATTTCCGGGACCAGGTCCAGGGATGCGTGACTCCCTCCAGCTCCCCAGGTGACCTTCTGTGAGAGTTTGGAGACCACTGGTGGTGACTTGGTCAACTCTATTCCTGGAAAAGTTGCAGGGTAAAGGGAAATCCTTTCGGTGTGTGGCTGGGTTGGCCCAGCAAGAAGCACATGGCCTCCTGAGTCATACCTGTGTTCCAGTGTTTCTCTGACCCTCATGAGCTGTGTGATCCTGGTGAGCCTCTGCAAAGTTGCATCACCATGGTCCCCATCTCTGAGGAGGGTAGCAAAAGTGACAGAAGTCTTTAATTTTTTTAAAATATATTTTTAAAAAATTATTTATTTTTGTTTGCACTGGGTCCTCGCTGCTGTGCATGGGCCTTCTCTAGCAGAGATGATCGGGGTCTACTCTCTAATTGTGGAGCATGGGCTGTAGGCACAGGGGCTTCAGTAGTTGTTTCATGTGGGCTCAATGGTTGTGGAGCATGGGCTTTGCTGCCCTACGGCATGTGGCATCTTCCCGGACCAGGAATTGAACCTGTGTCCCTTGCACTGGCAGGCAGATTCCTAACCACTATACCACCAGGGGAGTCCTGTGACATAAGGCTCTAGAACAGAGCCAGGCATATCAGCAAGTGTGCAAACACATGCTTTCATAGCTCTTGCACTTCTGGAAAATGACAGTTCCCAGGTTGGAATTGGTCTCCGAGAATGGACCAAACATTCCTCATCCAACTTCCTAAGAGATATACATTCTTCTCAGGTAAAGTCTCCAAAGATCAAGGTGGGTGTTGGGAGAAGGGACCCCTAGATGCCTTCCCCAGATGCGGTTGGAGGAAAGGGGTGGGCTGAACTTATTTTTAGGTTGGAGTTCATGTCTGGGTTGCCACTCCAACTTGCTTAGAAGGAGATGGCAGGAGGAGGAGAAGGGTCAGGGGGTGGAGAGGGGATGGGGGTGGGTGGCAGAAACAGAGGGAAAATAAGGGCCTTTGTGTTACCGGGAGACTTCTGGGGAGCAGGGTTTTGTGCTGAAGGGAGCGGTCTTAATAAAACCATGGTGCAGACTGGCCCATGTGGTTGTAATTAATACCCTGCCTTCAAGCAGGTAGCAGGCTCTCAGGCTTGGCCATAGATGGGAAGAGCCCCCTCCTCCCTCTACCGTCCATCTCCTGCACATGACTCCCCACCCGCCCTCAGTCCTGCTCCTCCTCGGCGGCGAGATGAGGAATGTGGATTTACTGAACCATAAAGTATGCTGGGGGAGCTGGGGAGGGGGCCGAAGACAGAGCAATTAGTTCATGCTCCAGTCCAGACACCCAAACATGGTTGGAGGCCAGCTGCAAGGAATATTTGAAATAAATGAGCTGCCTGGGGCCAGGAGTTTGCTGTGTTTTCTGTGCGGGGCCATGGCAACCAGGGAGGAAATCATGAGCTAGGGATTGGACTCTAGAATCAACAAATGATGTCCTGGCTGAACAAGACCGGAGGAAGCCACTCAGAGCTCTCCGAGGGCTTCTCGGGGTTCAGCTGCCGACGGGCAGGACTGCTCGAGTGTACTTCTGGTGGACGCGGTGGATTCCTGCCCCACCTTCAGCCCTCTCTGCCATCCATGGGGTTCTGCTCTGACTTTTTCTTTCTTTCTTTCAAGAAAAGAGAAAGCTGACACCTCCCTGGAACCTTTCTTCCTAGGCTGGAGAACAGCTGCTGGTCTGATAATGCTATTCCTGGGCAGAAGGGATGTTCCCACTGGGAAAGCCTAGGCCAAGGGCAGCTGGCTGCATGGAAGGTGGCATTGGCCCTGCTCTGGGGTCTGTCTTCCCACCCAGCTCTGCAGCAGCCTCCTCTGTAACTACTTTGTAGGTACAAAAGGCAAAGGCCCCATGAATCCCTTCCCTGACTCTTCTGAGGGTGGACCTCACAGCCATCCCTAAGAATGT